GTGTATTTCCAGGATCAGAGGGTAGTTCTATTTTTAGCTTTTTGAGGAACTTCCATAGTGTTTTCCAGAGTGGCTACACCAACTTGCATTCCCACCAGTGATGCAAAAGAGTTCCCCTTTCTCCTCATCCTTGCCAGCACCTTTTGTTTCTTGTGTTGTTGATTTTAGCCATTCAGACAGATATGAGGTGATATCTCATTGTAGGTTTGATTTGCATTTCCTGATGATAAGTGATGTCGAATATCTTTTCACGTGTCTGTTGGTCATGTGAATGTCTTCTTTGGAAAAATGTCTATTGTCTTCTGCCCATTTTTTTAAAAAGTTTTTATTTATTTATTTTGAGAGAGAGAGAGAAAGAGAGAGAGAAAGCATGAGCAGGAGAGGGTCAGAGAGAGAGAGAGAAAGAGAGAGAGAGAAAACAAGGATACCAATTAGGCTTTGCATTGCCAGTGTGGAGCCCGATGGAGGACTCAAACTCACAAACTGTGAAATCATGACCTGAGCCAAAGTTGGCTACTTAACTGACTGAGCCACCCAGGTGCCCCTATTTTTGTGTATGGTATAAGAAAATGGTCCAGTTTCCCTCTTTTGCATGTTGCTGTCCAGTTTTCCCAATACCATTTGCTGAAGAAGTTGTCTTTTTCCCACTGGATATTATTTCCTGCTTTGTTAAAGATTAATTGACTATCTAATTGTGGGTTCACTTCTAGGTTTTTTACTCTGTTCTATTGATCTATATGTCTATTTTTGTGCCAATGCCATAGTTTTGATTATAGCTGTGTAATATAATTTGAAAGTGTGGAATTGTGATGCCTCCATCTTTGCTTTTCTTTTTCAAGTTTGCTTTGGCTATTCGGGTGTTTTGTGGTTCCATACAAATGTTAGGATTGTTTGTTCTAGCTCTATGAAAATCCTGTTGGTATTTTGGTAGGGATTGCATTAAATCTGGAGATTGCTTTGGGTAGTACAGACATTTTTAACATTATTTGTTCTTCTAATCCATGAGCGTGGAATGTCTTTCCATTTCTTTGTGTCCTCTTCAGTTTATTTCATCAGTGCTTTATAATTTTCAAAATACAGGTCTTTCAACTCTTTGGTTAGGTTTATTCCTAGCTATATTATTATTTTTCGTGCAGTTGTAAGTGAGATTGATTCCTTAATTTCTCTTTCTGCTGTTTCATTATTGGTGTATAGAAATGCAGCATGTTTCTGTATAATTGATTTTGTATCCTGCAACTTTACTAAATTCATTTATCAATTCCAGAAGTTTTTTGGTGGAGTCTTTCAGGTTTTATCTGTATAGTATCATGTCATCTGCAAATAGTGAAAATTTTACTTCTTCCTTGCCAGTTTGGATATCTTTTATTTCTTTTTGTTGTTTGATTGCTGTGGCCAAGACTTCCAGTACTATGTTAAGTAACAGTGGTGAGAGTGGACTGTCTTGTTCCTGACCATTGAAGAAAAGCTCTCAGTTTTTTTTTCATTTAGGATGATGTTAGCTATGGGTTTTTCATATATGGGCTTTATTGTGTTGAGGTATGTTCCCTCAAACCTACTTTGTTGAGGGCTTTTATCATGGATGGAGGTTGTACTTTGTTAAATGCTTTGTCTACATCTATTGAAATGATCATATGGTTTTTATCCTTTCTGCTACTGATGTTATGTATCACATTGATTACTTTGCAAATATTGAAGCAACTTTACTTACTGGGAATAAATCCCACTTGATCATGGTGAATGATTTTTTATTTTAATTAATTAACTAATTAATTAATTTAATATAATTTATTGTCAAATTGGTTTCCATACAACACCCAGTACTCATCCCAACAAGTGCCCTCCTCAATGCCCATCACCCACTTTCCCCTTTCCTCCACCCACATAAACCCTCAGTTTGTTCTCTGTATTTAAGAGTCTCTTATGGTTTCCCTCCCTCCCTCTCTGTTTGTAACTTATTTTCCCCTTCCTCTGCCCCATGGTCTTCTGTTGAGTTTCTCAAGATTCACTTATGAGTGAAAACATATGGTATCTGTCTTTCTCTGACTGGCTTATTTCACTTAGCATAATACCCTCCAGTTCCATCCACATTGCTGCAAATGACCAGATTTCATTCTTTCTCATTGCCAAATAATGAGACAATATATATAAATATTGTATATATAATATATACATATATATATTTACATATGTATATATTATATATACAATATTCCATTGTATATATAAACCACATCTTCTTTATCCATTCATCAGTTGATGGACATTTAGGCTCTTTCCATAATTTGGCTATTGTTGAAAGTGCTGCTATGAACATTGGGGTACATGTGCCCCTATGCATCAGCACTCCTGTATCCCTTGGGTAAATTCCTAGCAGTGCTATTGCTGGGTCATAGGGTAGTTCTATTTTCAATTTTTTGAGGAATCTCCACACTGTTTTCCTGAGTGGCTGCATTAGTTTGCATTTCCACCAATAGTGCAAAAGGGTTCCCATTTCTCCACATCCTTGCCAGCATCTATAGTCTCCTAATTTGTTTATTTTAGCCACTCTGACTGGCGTGAGGTGGTATCTCAGTGTGGCTTTGACTTGTATTTCCCTGATGAGGAGTGATGTTGAGGATCTTTTTATGTTCCTCTTGGCCATCTGGATGTCTTCTTTAGAGAAGTGTCTATTCATGTCTTCTGCCCATTTCTTCACTAGATTATTTGTATTTCGGGTGTGGACTTTGGTGACTTCTTTATAGATTTTGGATAATAGCTCTTTGTCTGACATGTCATTTGCAAATATCTTTTCCCATCCGTCGGTTGCCTTTTAGTTTTGTTGATTGTTTGCTTCGCTGTGCAGAAGCTTTTTATCTTCGTGAGGTCCCAATAGTTCATTTTTGCTTTTAATTCCCTTGCCTTTGGAGATGTGTCGAGTAAGAAATAGCTGCGGCTGAGGTCAAAGAGGTTGTTGCCTGCTTTCTCCTCTAGGGTTTTGATGGTTTCCTGTATCATATTCAGGTCTTTCATCCGTTTTGATTTTATTTTTGTGTATGATATAAGAAAGTGGTCTAGTTTCATTATTCTGCATGTTACTGTCCAGTTTTCCCAGCACCATTTGCTAAAGAGACTGTCTTTTTTCCATTAGATATTCTTTTCTGCTTTTTCAAAGATTAATTGGCCATACATTTATGGGTCCAATTCTGGGTTCGCTATTCTAGTGAATGATTTTTAAAAATATATTGTTGGATTCATTTTGCTAGTATTTTGTTGAGGATTTTGCATCTATGTTCATCAGAGGTGATGAAGTTCTCATTTTTTGTAGTGTCTTTATCAGATTTTAGTATCAGGGTAATGCCTCATAGAATGAATTTAGAAGTTTTCCTTACTTTTATATTTTTGGAATAGTTTAAGAATAGGTATTAATTCTTTAAGTATTTGGTATAATTTGCCATTGAAGCCATCTGGTTCTAGAATTCTGTTTGTTGGGAGTTTTCTGATTCAATTTCTTTGCTGATTATCAGTCTATTAAAATTTTCTATTTCTTCTTGATTCTGTTATGGGAGGTTATATTTTTCTAGGAATTTATAATTTCTTCCAGTTTGTCCATTTTTTTGGCATAAAGCTTTTCATAATATTCTCTTATAATTGTATTTCTGTGATGTTGTTTGTTATTTCTCACCTCTCATTTATGATTGTACTTATTTATGTTCTTTCTCTTTTCTTTTTGGTAAGCCTGGCTAGAGGTTTATCAATTTTATTAATTTTTTCAAAAAAAAGAACTCCTGATTTCATTGATATGTTCTATTTTCTTATTTTCTTTATCATTTATTTCTGCTCTAATCTTTATTATTTCCTTCCTTCTGCTAGCTTTGGGCTTTGTTTGTTGTTCTTTGTGTTGCTCCTTTAGGTATAAGATTAGGTTGTTTATTTGAAATTTTTCTTGCTTCTTGATATAGGCGTTTGTTACTATATACTTCCCTCTTAGAACCACTTTTGCTGCATCCTAAAGGTTTTGGATTGTTGTGTTTTCACTTTCATTTGTTTCCATGTATTTTTTTTAAAGTTTATTTATTTATTTTGAGAGAGAGATGGGGGAGGCAGAGAGAGAGGGAGGGAGAGACTCTCAAGCAGGATCTGTACTGTCAGCATGGAGCCCGATATGGTGCTCAAACTCATGACCCATATGACCTGAGCCGAAATCAGGAGTTAGAATCTTAATCAACTGAGCTACCCAGGAGTGCCTAGGGAGACCTTCTTTAAACTACCTGAAGTTTGGGCCTCTTGCTATCTCTGGGTTGAGCCACTCATTGATCCACACTGTCGCAGAAGTCTGGATTTTTCCTTTGTAGCATTTAATACAATTTAATTTGTGTAATGATATAATATTTAGTCTTCCCCACAAGCCTGAAAGTTCCACAAGGTAAGGACTGTTTTCTATTGCTAACCATGGTATTACCAGGGCCCCAGTACATTGTATACAGTAGGTACTCACTCAGTACTCTCTTAGCAGGTACAGCCTTGTCCCACAAATCTGTCTTATTAGATACTCTCCAAGGACTAGGTGGAGAGGTACCCAAAGTTTATGAGCTTGGTGGTGGAGACAGTGTCTGAGCAGTCAGAGAGATGGAGGAGTTCAGAGCTGGTGCAGTGGGGGAAGCAAGAAGGGATACTGAGGACATTAAAGGATGCTCATCGGATGAGTTTGCCCCTGTGTTCTCAACATCACATTTCCAGCCCAAATGAGTCCTTCTTCAATCATTTATGAAATAATTTCTTTAGAGGAAGAGGTAAACATCTGAGTAAAAAACCAAGGCCAAAACAGCTTTGCAGAATTATAACATGTCCCCGAAACCAGTTACAATTCAACTGGATTGGACTTCAAGAGAGAAATGATTGTGTTCCTCCAAATAATCTTCAGTTAGGAAGCTCCCACTCCTCCCAAGATGTGGAAAGATGATTACACCTTCTGCTGTCAGTTGCTGAGAAAGAAGTTTTTTCTCCTGATGGACCGACCAACACTATTTCTTTTTTGCTGCTCTTTTCCCTTCTCCTTTCCTTGGTTTCCCCTTGCCATGAAGCTTCTTTAGACGCATCTGCTCCTCCTTGAAGTCCTGATGCTCATCTCTATAGAGGCCAAGAAAACGTAGTGTCCCCATGAGTGCAAAGTAAGTGTTGTGATTTGGATACCAGTCATAAGTCTTCTTCTTCTTGGCTAAAGGCTACTCACTGAAGAGCTTCACCACTTTCATGTTTTTAGAATCAGTGGGCCTGGCAACTTCACCGAGTAGCCGGGCACTGAGACAACTCATGTGCAAGACATATTCTGAAAGTGAAGACATTTCCTGAGCAGCAAGGAGCATGAATCCCTACACGCAACCTTCCTCTCCCGTGCGCCCCTCTCCTGGAAGGCCCTCCCCTCTGTCCATGTGTTTTTCCATTAATTTCCTGATTGACCAATTCATTGTTTATTAGCATGGTATTTAACCTCTGTGTATGTGGTCTTTCCTGATTTTTTTTTTTGTGGTTGACTAATAATTTCATAGGATTGTGATCAGAAAAGATGCATGGTTTGATTTCAATCTTCTTAATTTGTGAAGGCCTGTTTTGTGGCCTAATATGTGATCTATTCTGGAGAGTGTTCCATGTGCATTTGAGAAGAATGTATAGTCTGCTGTTTTAGGATGGAATGTTCCTAATGTATCTGTTAAGTCCATGTGGTCCAGTATGTTATTCCAAACCATTGTTTCCTTGTTGATTTTCTGTTTAGATGATCTGTCCATGTGTGTGGTGTAAAAGTCTCCTACTACTAATGTATTATTATTGATTAGTTTCCTTGTTTACTATTAATTGTTTTATATATTTGGGAGCTTTTGTATTGGGTGCATAAATACTTACAATTGTTATGTCTTGTTGATTTGTCCCCTTTATTATTATATAGTGTTCTTTTTTGTCTCTTGTTACAGTCTTTGCTTTAATTTAATTTTAAAAAGTTTTTTTTATGTTTATTTATTTCTGAGACAGAGAGAGACAGAACATGAGTGGGGGAGGGGCAGAGAGAGAGGGAGACACAGAATCAGAAGCAGGCTCCAGACTCTGAGCTGTCAGCACAGAGCCTGTCGCGAGGCTCGAACTCACAAACCGTGAGATCATGACCTGAGCCGAAGTCTGTCGCTCAAACGACTGAGCCACCCAGGCGCCCCTACAGTCTTTGCTGTAAAGTCTAGTTTGTTCAATATAAGTATTGTTACTCTGGCTTTCTGTTGACATCCATGTACATGACAAATGTTTCTCCCATCTACTCACTTTCAATCTAAAGATGTCTTTATGTCTAAAATGAGTCTCTTGTAGTCAGCCTATAGATGGGTATGGTTTTTGTTGTCCACTCTGTCACCCTGAGTCTTTTGACTGGAGTGTTTTGTCCATGTACATGCAAAGTAATTAGTGATAAAAATGTATCTATTACCATTCTTTTACTTGTTTTGTGGTTGTTCCTGGAGATTTTCTCTGATCCTTTCTTGTCTTTCATGTTTTACTGATTTTCTTTAATGATATATTTGGGTTTCTTTCTCTTTATTCTTTGCATGTTTATTAGTGGTTTTTGATATATGGTTTTTGAAATATGGTTACCATTATGTTTGTATATAACCTCTTCTGCATATAGCAGTCTATATTAAGTTGTAGGTCATTTAAGTTTGAACCATTCTTTTCTCCTGTCCTCCCCACATTTTAGGCATATGTTGTTATATTGTATATCATTTTTTTTTGGTGTGTTCCTTGACTGATTATTTACAAAAATATTCATTTTTACTGCTTTTGTGTTTCTTACCTTTATACTCTCACTTTTGGTCCCCCTTTGCACTCAAAGTGTCCCCTTTAATATTTCTTGTGAGGCTCCTTTATTGGTCACAAACTCCTTTAGTTTTTATTTGTCTGGGAAACTATTTCTCCTTCTATTCTGAATGATAGCTTTGCTGAATAGAATATTCTTGGCTGCAGATTTTTCCCATTTAGCACTTTGAATATGTCATGCCACTCCCTTCTGACTTGCCAATTTTCTGTTGAAAAATATCCTGCTAGCCTTATGGGTTTTCCCTTGTAAGTTAATGACTTATTTTGTCTTGGTACTTTTAAGAATTTTTCTTTATCACTATATCTTGCAAGTTTACTTATAGTATGTCTTGATGGGAATTCTCTGTGCCTCCTGGATCTGGATGTATGTTTCCTTCCCCATATTAGGAGACTTTTCAGTTATTATTTCTTCAAATAAATTTTCTGCCCCTTTTCTCTCTTCTCTTCTTCTGGGACTCCTATAATATGAATGTTATTATGTTTGATGGAGTTACTGAGTTCTCTAAGTCTATTCTCATTTTGCATAATTCTTCCTCTCTTTTTTTCCGCTTCATTGCTTTCCATTGCTTTGTCTTCTAGGTCATTAATTTGTTCCTTTGCTTCTTCTAGCCTACTACTGTTTATTATATCAAGTATGTTTCTAATTTTGTTTTTTGCACTCTTCATCTTTGATTGATTCTTTTTTTAACTCTTTTATTTCTGTGGTAAGGGTGTCACTGATGTCTTCCATTCTTTTCTCAAGTCCAGTGAGTGTCCTTAGGATTGCTGCTTTAAATTTTCCATCAGACATGTTACTTATATCTATTTTGCTTAGATTTCTAGCTATGGCCTTATCTTGTTCTTTTATTTGGTATAAATTCCTCTGTCTTGGCATTTTGTCTAAGTCTCTTCCTGTTTCTCTTTGTTAAACAAGCCAGTTATTTCTCCTGCTTCTGAAAGTAAGAGGTCTCCTGCTTCTGAAGAAGAGGTCATGTAGTGCCTAGGGCCCGGTGCTTCAGGAGCATATCCAGTGTGTGCTGCATGTGCTTTGCATGTGCTCTAGATGCTCTATCCTTCAGGCCAGTCATCTGCAGAGGCTCTCCTTGTTTGCTGTGGGCAGTGTTTGGTCCCTGGCCTGAGTGTGGTGAGTTTTAATCACCACATTCTGCTCTGTCTCTTTGTGAATGCAATCTGTCACCACCTCCACTGGAAGTGAGGTGCTGTAACTCTCTGATCAGAAGACATAGTGTGGGCAGGGGTTTGTGCTGGTCTTCTGGGGGAAGGGCTGGCCTCACTAGGACTGAGGAAGTGTGACTGACAAGGGAAGTTCCACCAGAGCACAGTGGGGTGGGGCTTAGTGTAAGCAAGTTAGGCAGCCATTTTTCTTGCTGCACTGCCTCCCACAGGTGGTTCTGTGTTTATGCTGAGGAGAGGCAAGGGAAACGGCACTGGCCAGCTCCTGTGTTCCCTGAGAGGTGTCTGTATGAATGCTGTTTCTCAGGGACTTACTTGAGAAGAGCAAATAGTCTCCCCACTGTGTGCCCCAAGCACTCTTCAGATCGCTATTTCCACGCTGTCTGCCATGGGTTGGTTGCCTGCCTTCTCTCCAAGAGCAGTGTAGTGCCCTTGGGGCTCTATCCCAGCCAAGCTCGCTGACCTCTAAAACTCCAGGCTTTAAGTCCAGCTGGTTGCAAGAACTCACAAAATTCAGCCCCTCTAATTTCCCAAGGCAATGGCTATGAGGAAACATTCTCCTTATGCATTCCCCTGTGTGGTCATCTCTGTCTCACCCTTTTCTGTGACCACAGCTCCCTCCCTTCCACAGCCAGGATCCATTTCTCCCCTAAACTATATCTCTGTGCTTCCTCCTTTCTTCAGTGTGATCACTTCTCTCCCTTTAGTTGTGAAGTCTGTTCTGCCAGCTTTCAGGTCAGTTTCTTGGGTATTTGGGATGATTTATCTAGTTGTATTCATGGGACGAGGTGAGCCTAGGATTCTCCTATTCCACTGCCATCTTCTGGTCCCAATACCTTCTCATTTAGAAGTTACAAATTCCACAGCCTCAAACTAAGATTGCAAAATAATCATTAAAGAATTTTCTCCCAAAACATCAGCCTTGGAGAATAATTCTTGAATAATCATTGTTAAACATATAATGCCATGCATTTCTATATTTTCAACCTTTACCCATTTTTGTTTTCCTATTTAATTAGGGCCAACTTTCTAAACACAAACTTAAGCCAAACACATAAAAAAATAGTGATTTAAAGCACAAGTCTATAAGAAAAGATCAACATACCAGTTGTTTCAAGATCATTTCAGTTCAATATATTGGGAGCAAAGATCCATTCTGAAAATGAAAAAATATGTAGTTTAAAAAATTCTTAGAGGCATAAACCAAATTCTTATCTTTCTACCTGGTTTGTTTTACAAAGAAGCTTCAGAAATATTTGACTATAGTTTTAATGATGGAAATGTTATGTTTTCATTTCAAAGCAATGAAATTCTGATGTTTAATGTGAATCCAGTTGGCTCTCTTTTGTACATTCATAGTTTCAAAGGCTAGAATTTGTTATCAGCAATGGGAGAGATTTAAGCTGCACACATAAAAACAAAGTTACTTAGAGTTCAAGGTTTTGTCTTGTAAGTAGCATTCCACTTAGAGTTTCAAAACTTTTTACTTTAAAATACTTTACTTGAAACCAACCTTTCCTTCTGAGAGGATCAATAAAAGTGCAGCATTATCCCACTCTCACCTCTTAAGACCTTTTGCATTCATCCAGTTTTTCTTATTTTTTACCCTTTATCTTGCTAACAGTTCTCAGAGATTTCTTCTGTGTTCCTGTGAAGGTAAGTTTCTTGTCAAAGAGGCATGTCATCTTCTGAGGTGGCTTATTCTGTTTAGCTACCCTGTCATCTTCGATGTCCTTGTTTAGGGCAGTCCAGTGGTCCAGATACAAGGCCTAGATCAGCTTCTAGAGATTCTGATCATCATATTTGACTTGTCATCCTGGAGTCACAACAGTACCCATGGAGACAACCTTGATATAGAGACAGGGTAGATATTTTTCAGTTGTCCATAGTTACTATATTGCTATTTATAGCTAATTTTCTTCTTGGAAACTAGGAAGAGAGGGGGAAAGATCTTTTCTTGTTTGTCCTTGAAAATCTCTTTGTGACATGGCATGACTACCACTTTCCCTGGGTTGGCTGCTACTCTGTCACTTCCAATACCCAAGTGGCCTGGGCAGAGTTTACTGTAATGAGCAAACTCATTACATCTCTGCAAGCTTTCTTTCTTCTCTCTCTAGCCCTTTTTGATTTACTCCTCACCTCAACCAAAACTTGCTTACTGATCTTCTGGTCCTAGCTGTTGGGCAACTTTACCCTTTCTCAACTTTACCTTTTCAGAGATGACTCCAGTTCTATTCATTCATGCATCTGTCACCAGATTCTTTCAGGGCCATGAATTTCTCTCCATTTCTATACCTGTTGCTATAATAAATCAAAT